AATAATAATACTACCTACCTCATAGGGTTGCTGTGTGTGAGGATTATCTATGATACTTGAAGTACATAAAACAATATCTGGCACAAAGATATATGCTATGTATATTCTAGCTACATTATTATTATTATTCTCCCTAACATTATCTGCAGATTTGGAATTATAATAGTACCTACCTCATACAGTTGTTATAAGGATTAAATGAGTTAATAAGTGCTCAGCACCATGATGAGCAAATGGTAGGCACTCACCAATACTGTCATCTGTTTACCTCCACAATTTCTGGGCTCTATGACCTTGAGTAGAACTTTAAGCTTCAGTTTCCACATCTTTAAAATGAGGTTACCTTACTGCAGTGGTATACTAAGGACTGAATGAGATACTTTAAAATTTTAATGTAATGAGATACATTAGAATGCCTTTCACAATAAAAGCATTCAGTAAATATTCAATTTTAAAACAAATCTTATTCAGTATTATTAAAATAATATTTTGTTTCATTAAAGCATTCAATTTTAACATTTTTAGGTATGGAATAAAAGCATGATTATAAAACTTATTAATGCTCACACAAATTCAAATATGTCCTAACATTTATTCTAACTACTTCAATGTTTTTAAGCATTACAAAGCCCGCAAGCTTCCATTCCTCCTGCTGACATTGATGGTACTTCTGTCAAAGAATCAGGAGAGAAAATAGTAACAACATGCAGAACATATTTACAATACGCCAGGTACTTTTTCTAAGTGCTTTAAATACATTAACACACTCACAATGTCCTCACGACACCCAAGAGGATGGCTTCTACTGTATCTCCATCATCTATTACATCTTGCACATGAGAAAACTTGAAACAAAGGTACTGTTTAAGATTTGCTGTATTTGGAACAGAAATCAACTGCCCGTTTCATTTGTGGAATCTGCTATAAGAGACAGCATTTGAAGAAAATCAAATAAAACATTTTTTTTGCAGAAAACTTGTAGAGTTTACATGTATTTCTTCATACTGTATTTCTAGACATGTGTTAGCAATACAAGAGCCACCAGCTATATGTAGCTATTGAACACTTCAATAGCACAAATTGCAATGTGCTATAAGTGTAAAATACACATCAGATTTTGAACTTAATATAAAAAATGTAAAATATCTCATTAATAAATTTTGTATTAATTACATGTTAAAATGATAATATCTGGATACACTGGGTTAAATAAAATATATTATTAAAATTAATTTCACCTGTTGCTTTTTACTTTTGTTAACGGGACTACTACAAAATTTTAAACTACATATGTGGCCCACATTATATTCATTACATATCTATCAGATAGTTGGTTTAGGTTCAGGGGTGAGAGGAACAACAGAAAATTATTATCAAAGTTGTTTTATCAATCAATACAAGCTTAAGTGTTCAAGGTAAAAGTATGAAATGGAAGGTTTCTCTCTCTCTCATTCTGTGTATGTGTGTAATGCCATATATATGAGCTCTGTCTGGAAAAAGTCCTACCACTGTTAATATAACGAGAAAGATTTGCATGGCATCAATGAAACCTGGCAGCCAAAGTGAATGGACTGGAATGCGCATGTGTGAACAATGATGACTTCACTGTACTAAGCAGAGGGGGTAGGTGGACCGGTTGAGTGAGCATGTGTACTGTGTAAATGTCACATTCAAAATGACTGAGCAAGTAGAGCAATGAATCTACATCAAATTTTGCATTAAGCTTGAATGTTCCTCTGCAGAAACTATTTGGATGATGCAGAAGGCCACAGCTATGAGCAACTGGTGATTGGCAGCTTCATCATGACAACATGCCCACTCATGCAACACATCTCCTAGAGAGTGTTTTGGTAAAACATCAAATTGCCCAGGTGACTCAGTTCCCCTACAGCCCAGATTTGTCACCCTGTGACCTCTGGCTTTTCCCAAAATTAAAATCACTTCTGAAAGGGAAGGGATTTCAACCATCAATGAGATTCAGGAAAATACAATGGGGCAGCTGATGGTGATTGGGAGAATTGTGAGATCTCAATGTGCCTACTTTGAAGGGGACTGAGGTATCATTGTCAATGTTTCTTAAATCTTGTATCGTCTTCAATAAATGTGTCTATTTTTCATAGTACATAGCTGGATACTTTCTGGACAGACCTCATAAGAATATATATAGTTAGTTATATGTGTGCATGTGTGGATATATATACACACACACACAACATAATATATTATGAAAATCAGAGGAACACACAATTCACTAATACTTCACTATATTCAACACACAAGATTATTTTACCAGGAAAACAGTTGAGGTAATACCAATGCTTTGTGGATGAGGAGAGGAAAGCAAATCTGGGAGGAAATACAGCCATGAGAAAAATATTCATTTTCTTTTAAACTGAAAGCATAAAGATCCCTTTAATCAAAAAAGATCTAACCACTTAGTTTCAGGGGTATAATAAATGCCAAGTCTATGTGGTAATTTAAATTTCCTGATGGCTTAACTAGCAGACTATTAAAATATCTGATGTCTGATATCTGGTATCTTCTAGAAAATATCCAGTTTATGGATACCTGTCACATTGTTTTGATCAATTTTGTACATTTAACTGATTCTTCTAAAAAGATACTGGTCCACTATATAGATGAAAATTGTTCCATAAAGTTTACATCAGATATCTGGAAAAGTCACATTTATAGTCATGGCTACTATCAGCTGTCAAGCCAAAGAATATTGAAGAAAACCAAGAATTTTTAATATATGCTGGTTAATTTATCATCTAAGTGACATATGTAGGATAACAAAAAATTGAAAATGTTAAGCAAAATTCTGCATTTTGAAAGGTTCCTTTTTTTCCTGGTTTTATTCTTAATTGCAACTATGATTTGAGAAGCCATGGTGAGAAAGCAAATTAACAGGAACCATAAAAATAGAGTTGCTAAATAAAGTATACACAAAGATTTCTTTTTCCCTTCTGCAGATTATTTAAGGCGTTAATTTTTTTATCAGTAATATACCAATATTTTAGTTTGTAATAAAAACTAGTTAAACCATCTATTCCAGGATTTCTCATCATTGACTCTATCTACATTTGGGGCTGGTTAGTTCTTAATTTGGAGAGACTGTCTTATACATTTTAAGATGTTTAACAGCATCCCTGGCATCTATTTGATAGATGCTAGTATCACCCTTCCCCACAGCTCTGACAACCAAAAACGTCCAAACATGGTCAAATGTCCCCTGTGAGGTAGAAATCTCCTTTTAAGAACCAGTGGCCTATTTCCACCCAAGATACCTTCCTTCTTTGTGAAAATTACTTCAGTGCTTCCTAAGCTACTATTCTTTAGTTTTAGGGGCTCTTTATAGGGGATTCCCAGACAGCTTTAGCAGAAAGACCAGTAGACTTACTGAAACCATATGCAGAATAGTCTGGATATGTTTTTATTTGTATGTGTGCGCTGGAATGTGTTTCATCACATCCTGAAAGAGTTATCTCAAAAGTGGCAATTAAAAAAAGGGTTAAGAATTAGCGCTTCAACTAAAGTATTCACTGTGCCCCGAGCCATCTTTTCAAAGCTATAAAGATTGAAAATACTAGTTTTACACAGCAAATAATTTATGGATGCTATCAATTATCAGGCAAGACTTCTTTTACCACACTTATAAACCCTTCATTCAACATTCACTGACTACATTATATATTCTAGGCCCTATATTATTAGTATTTGAAAGCTAAACTTAAATTCCAGCTCCCTCACCAAAAATAAATAAATGATTTTAATTGAAAAAAAATTTAAAGTAGTATAAAATCCGTATTTATTTCATATAACCAACTAAAATTTCTGCTTCTCAAAAGTTAATGTAAGAAAATGCACTAGTTATAATACTAGTACCTAAAGATAAAATAAAGGTAGATAAATAAAATAAACACAATTTATATTATTGGTAAAAAGATATAAATTTTCTAAAAAGATACTTAAGATACTCAGACTCAAATAAATTATTGTCCAACACATTATTTCTATCTCTCCTGCTTTCCCTGCCTTAAACAAAACACAAATGTACTGAATGACATACTATGTATCAGACATAGTTATTAAGCTTAGAGGTTATTAAGTTAAATAAGAAATATAATGGGATAACCAAGCACCTAGCATCTTGTCCAGAACACAGGAAAAGTTCACAGTTCCTTTTTTTCCCTTTCTGTCCACAAAATGCTCAGTCTCCTCTCCAATATAAATATCACATCTTAAATTTCTCTTTTATCTTTTACATGCTAAACCAAAAAACCAAAATCCTCTTTTTGATTCAAAATATGTAAGCTAACTAAAGAAACAGCAGCTAAGTTAAAATGTTTGAATAATTATAATTCTACAATCTACATAGACATTTCTCTCTTTTTTTTTTAAAGCCAACAATCCCCAAGCATCCTAGTCTTCCTATAGTGCAGTTTAAAGTTTACAGAGCCACTAATCTTTTTTGGATTGCACAACTGTGATATACAACTTAAAGGGCTATTGTATTCAATAAGTGGTTTGGCGATAATAGACACTAATATAATCAATAAGTATATAAAAATGACTAGAGAAGAATATGTCCGCTTCAAGATTACCAAATGGATTAATGCTAGAATCAGTACAATGAGAAAATGATGCTTTAAAATAGGATAAATCTTTACAAGTAAGTTAGAAAATAACTCTGTGTCTATAAATGAACATATCATCCCCCAAAAATCAATATCATCATATCTAGCCAAAAGCAAAAATCCTAAGAAACAGAAGTGACTTTTTATAAAAAGAATGAATAATGAAGATTTTAATGTTTATATTATATACTGACAACAATTAACTGAATAATATTACACAATAAAATTACCCTTCAGAGAAGAGATGCTATTGATAATTGTAAATCACACAGAAAAATTCTAAACAAACTATATCAGATTGTCTAGGGGGGAAAAATTGCAACTCAAAGTGAAAGAATATTACGTTATTTATATATTTACCTGCACAGCAAGAGAAGCTGCATTGTCAGAAAGCAAAATTTGCTCCCCTGCAGAAACACAATAAAAGGTTTGAGTCAAAAGTGTGATTGTTAAACAAGATATATTTTCATTTTTAAAAAAAGACTCCTATTTTTAAAGAGATATAGCCTTTCACTAACATAATTATGAAGTTCTGTATCAATGTTATTGTGTAATTATAATTTTGATTATATTATCATAGTATGTAAATAATGATAAAACAAGACTATTTCCTCTAAAACTGATCATTTATCACATTTTATCAGCAATATGTAATTAAAATCGCTCATTTAAAAACAAATTCATTTTTCAAGTTTTCAAAATATAGTCCTCCTCTTTTCATCAAAATTAAGTATATTTAAAAATTAAGTACTATTTGTATCTACCTCCCTAGTTAAAAGTAAAGCCATTCAGGACCATATAAAACCAGCTTGTAGTTAATATTGCACAGTGTCTAGGTCTGTCACACAAAAGAAAGATGACAAGTTCGCTGCAATAAAAATTCCATGCTTAGAAGACTAGGGCTGCTGCCTATTAGTCTTCATTACTTTGCAGTCTTCTGACAATTGTAGCAGGCTGCTGAGCCCCAAATGGGGTCCATAATGTGATCTGATGATATATGAAGAGCTGCTAAAGGGAGCCTGAACCATCCTAGCCTATACATTTTAACAGTTCCTTTTTACTGAGAGCCCACTTTACCACAGGACTTCAAAAATCTGCTGTGTCAGCTATTGGTGCAGTAAATCTGCCAACTGCTCCTGCAACCACATCATTTTACACTGCCTACAGCAGCCAATATAATGAGTCAATAATAAACTAAGGACCTTATAAGCCATGAATAGTTGGTTTACACTGGCAGATACAAGTTTAGGCAAAATCTCTTAGACAAATTACACAAGGGAATCTCCTTTCTTTATGTTGTATGTTCTCCCTGCAGTAAATTATATTATTGAGGGACTTTTTTTGGTAATAAATATATTTTGATGGAAAGCCATTTTTAATTGTGAACAAGTTCCTACCTTTCAGTTGCTGATATAATGTAGCATTTTCAGGCCAAGGTTCTGCAGCTGCGGAAACAAGACAATGATAATTAGGCACATAGGGCAAAAACACATGAATAACCAACCAAACTAATAAGCACATACATTGGCCTAGAGCTCTTAAGGCCAATTGCCACGTTTACCTTAACTGTGGCAACTAATCACACTACCTTAGGTTCAATGGTAACCTGTGTAAGTAGGTTAGATAATGTTTTAAATGAATGTTTGGTTTATTGTTTGGTGGTAATTTCTGTTTTTTATGAGGAGGAAGCAGAAGACATCTTACCCAATCAAAAGTAAAAATTGAAAAAATGAAACAGCCCATATGCTACTATTCATTTAGCCTCCTTCAAACACAGACATTTCTAAAACGTTACTTATACACATAAAAAATACTGAATTTAGGTTCACTATAAAAAAATAGTGAAATTGTAAATGTTTAACAACATAAATTTTCAAACAGACAACAATGCACAAATGACTCAAACATATCTGTATGATGCTGTGCACGTTGCCTTAAAAACTGGTAGCATTTAAACATACAGAGGAATCCAGTTGTATTCTAGAACATTTCATTGCCTTGACCCCTCCACCACCACCCAACAAAATCAAAGGACAGTAGTATGATGAAACAATAATTACCTACAGTGTCAAATAAGGCTGGTAAAGTTAATCTTAGGCCTAAAGCTAGGATTGATCTTGACTCTTAACCGTTCGTCTACATAAGACTCTGGCTAGCTACAAAGAGAGTATTAGCAAGCTACCAGTGCTTGGAAAAAGCACTAGGTGTAAATTTTGTCTAATCAACTGCACTTAAGAATTAGTGTCTCCACTGATAGATTATACGGGATGTCATCTGTTGAATTCTTTGTAAAAGCCATAAAACATCAGAATAACCAATTCTAACACATTCACTCTCAGGAAAAAAGTAAATTAAACATATGAAATCTAATAATAATTAGTATTTTCTTAGTGTTTTAACTAATCTAGTTTCTGTGACATAGAAACACGTTATTTTTTAGTGTATAGCCGTAGCTGATTTTTTAAAAAAATTTATGTATGTGCCCTGGCTGGTGTGGCTCAGTTGGTTGGACTGTTGTCCTGTAACTGAAAGGCCGTGGGTTTGATCCTCGGTCAGGGCATGTATCTGGGTATAGGGTTTGATTCTAGTCCAGGAGCATAAGTACAATCCTGGTCTGAGCGCGTATGGGAGGCAACCAATCCATGTTTCTCCCTCACATCATTTCTCTCCCTCTCTTCCTCTCTCTCTCAAAGCAATTAAAAAATGTCCTTGAGTGAGTATTTAAAAAAATACATAAATATATATGAAGCATTTTTTTCTTATGACCATTTAAAATGCACTAAAACAGTCCCAGAGATAATGGGACCCCTTAGTTTGCTTTTATTTACACGTTAGAACGAAAAGGAAAACATACTAGTAGTATTATAAATTATAAATGCTATTATTGCTTTTAGGATATATAAAATTAAACTCATACTTGAGTAATACCATGAAATCATCTAGCAAACAATGAACCATACATAGTTTTGTATGCTTTTAGCCACAATATTATACATATATGTAAAGGCTACTGAGTTTCAACTCACATACAAAAAAGGCTGTAAAACTAAAAGTGCATTATGTTATTGTAAGCTTTTTAAGAAAGTAAATTTTAGTAAGGACTCAATTAACCTTTGTAACATGGTTTTGTAAAAGTCAGGAAAACAAAAACAAGCTGACATCAGCAAATTACTCAAAAATAACCTTTTAGGATAAATTGTATGGTCAGCACACCTACACTGTTTACACTTGTATGAGAAACAATACAATGAGGTTCATTCATTATAAGGTCCTACATCATCAAAGATTCAATTATATGCGTTATATTATTATTATTATTAAAGAAATGAAGCATAGAAATAAAATTTGCAAAAATTGCAAAGATAATAAAACTAAGTTCCTTGAGGACATATGTGTTATATGCTACACTGTACTATGTTGTGCACATAGATGGTGTTCATTAATTGTGCATGGAATGAAAGAAAAGGGATATTTTAGTTAAACCTAGCACTGTATTCCCTAAATATTCTGGCTAACCAAAATTTTACTGGACTTAATAATATTATCAACTATGTTAAAGAAATGAGGTGTTCTAATTAAATATTCTGGTAATTTTAACTGTTAGCTGTTTTGTATAGATACTAGACATAGATTAAAAATTTTTTAAACAATGGAATACTGTACCCTTAGCATTAAATATATGCTGAATATAATTTGTGTTGTTTGATAAGTCAAAAACTACCTCACTACTCTGCAATACAAAGAGTTCTCATACAGGCAGTAATTTATGTGTTCAGTAATTCCAGTTAAAAGTTAATTTATCACTCTGGCTGGTGTGGCTCAGAGGCTTGAATGCCAGCCTACAAACTGAAAGGTCGCCAGTCCGATTCCTACTTGGGGCACATGGCTGAGTTGTGGGCCAGGTCCCCAACTAGAGGCAGATGAGAGGCAGCCAACCAATGTTTCTCTAGCACATCAATGCTTCTCTCCCTTTCTTCCTTACTTCCCCTCTCTCTCACAAATAAATTTAAAAAAGTTTTAAATGTGAATTTATCATCACCCCTATGGATTCTCCAGATCTATTACATCGGACATATGTGAAAGTAAAAGAAATCTTGCAACACATTACCTGACTGAAAATAAAATAAAGAAGTTGCTTACAAATACTAAAAGCTGTTATTAAGAACCTAAAGCTGAAAATGGGGGTCAAAGTGGTATGTTTTTCTTGATCCAAGATGCAAAGTATGTTCCAACTCAGAAATCATTACTGAAAATAAATTCTCAGAAAGTAACTGCTAAAATGTCTGATGTTACCTTCACAAATAGAACCTACCACTTAAAAAGAGAAGGCAGAAGAGTGATAGGAACCTATACAATCATGTTATTTTAACAGCCTGAAATTCCAGTGCATCCACAGACAAGGAGCCAAGAAATGGCAAAAGAGGCGGGAAATGATCGTCAGCCTATCTCACCCATGAGCAGCTCAGAGTATACAAGTATCACTGATTTAAATGTGTTGCCTACATAAACCAGCTCAGGTAATTACATTTTAAACATGACACGGACAAGAAATGGCTAGCATGTTATTCAATAGAAAGTCCAAAGTTAAAATCCTAAGATGCGTGTGTGTGGATCTACAAATCAGCCACATAGGTTTCCATCTAGGAAATGAGCTCTACAACTGCCTTCATCAGTAAGTCCATGAATCATAAGCATTATTGTCCACACATAAAGTACAAGGCCTACTTCCTGGTTTGGGTAATATTATATTAAAGCCTTTTTACTGAGAAAGCCTATAATGTGAAAGACAAAGTCCAAAAATACAACTTCCCCACTTCTCTTTCCCAAGGTTGGGCAAGTCAATACCCACTCCTTGGTTCTGACCACGTGAGAAAAATTAAGAACTTAAAATTATAGTGCTAACAGGAGACTTAAAAACCTGTAATATTTAAGAAGAAAACCATTTTAAACAATAATAAAACATTTTCACCACAAACAAGTTTTACTTTATTCAACCTAAAATGTTTTAGACCACAGACTAATTCAATAGTGAATAAAATTTCATAAATCACCCATCCTATGCTCAATTTCTACCATCAAAAGCACTCTCTGATATGAAATGCCTTTTTAAGCCTTAGGGAAGGGCCAGCCTTAAAATAGATACAGAAGGTGAAAAGAAGGCTGGCAGCAAACAGGGACTGAGACAGAATGTTGTTTAATGTTGTCAAGGTGCAAGTTACAGATATTAATAGTACATCAAAAGTAAACTTTATGCTTAAAGTTTGTATGGCTCTTGGAATAAAGAGCCCCACAACAGTTCGTGTGGCTCCTAGGATAAAGATCAGAATCATCATCTTGGCCCTACACATCACCTTCTCTACCTCTCTGGCTTCATCGTACCTCCACCCCACCCACTCTGTACTCCAGCCGCTTTAACCTTCACCCAGTTCTTGAATGCACCATGTTCCTTCCTGCCCTAGAGATTCATTTGGGCTGTTTCCTCTTCACTGGAGAGATCCTCCCATCCTACCGTGTTCTCACATCTGTGCTCAAACATCACTTCATCAGGCTGGGCCAATTTCCTGGACAGGCAACCCAAGCAGTTGCCTGCACTTAGAAAAGCTCCAGCCCTGGTTTAATGTTCTGCTACCCAAGTCCTGGAATTTTTTTTTGAACCAGGGGCCTCTTGATTTCATTTTGCACTTGGCCCTACAGCTGATCCTGTCCTCAGGGAAGCCTTCTTTGACCTCCCTCAATAGTTCAAACACTCTCTTTACAAGCTTGAGTAGCATGCACACTCCATTGTACCACTTATCACAGTCAAAAACTTTACATGGAAGTGAGGGCTATTTGATTTTTTAGCTCCCTCAGTAGAACATAAAAACACCATAAATTCAGTATTCAAGTCTGATTTTTGTTACCACCTCATCCCTAGAACCCAGCACCTAATAGGCAATCAATCAGTAGATGCTGGCTGAATGTTTCTTTTTATTATTACCACTATCATTATTATTATTCTTCTGTACCATTTAGGCCAAAATGCAGCATGGAGGATAGAGAAACTACACAACATGATCCAAAAAAGAAAGCTTTACCCAGAGAACTTCAATACTACAACCTGTAACACAAAAATATTAAACAGCTGGCTGAAATAGTTGACGGAATGTAATTCTGTAAATTTACTACGCACTGACCCTAACAATGGCAATTTGTTTCCATATTTTATATCAAATACATAGTTTTCATTAGATACTACTGTTGTAACACCACTAAGACCCTCAACCATCTGATAAGTAATCTCACTAATCCCTTTTCCACATTATATAACTAACCCGGGGATCATCACTTTTTAAATTTCATGTCCCCGTCAATAAAATATTGGAGCATGCAGGTCCAAATAGATTTAGAAATCATCTAGTTGGCATTCCTGAACTAATAAATCACATACACTATAAGACACACTGAA